TACAGAAGTGCGACTAGAGGCCGTAAAAGGCGAACATGGGCGCTCCGGCTAAAGAGAGCCCATGGCACCGTACGGAAGTGCAACTAGAGGCCGTAAAAAGCGATCATGGGCGCTCCGGCTAAAGGGGGCCCATGGGCCCCCAACCTCTATTATTTAAAGAGGTCTCTGGAGGGGTGAATTTGAAAATAGATTGACCTTTTCTTTTCCTCAAAGAGCTCCATGGAGTGGAAATTTAAAAATGAATCAACCTTTCCTGTTGCTTGAAGAGGTTTATGGGGGAAAATTTAAGACAAATCAACTTTTTCTTGCTTAAAAAGCTCTATGAGGCCTTCTCTTAAGATACCACGATGTTGTCATACTTTCTCCGCCTTGCAGGTCATACAGTTGGACCCGACACCGTTTCTTGGGAAAAGAAGGACCGGTTCCTTGGAAAGTTCTCTGTCTCCTTGGAATTTCCGTGGTTGTCTGCATCCAATGGGCCAAGGTGCTAATCGCAAACTTCTGTGAAGCAATGCTTTTTCAATTGAGGCTTAGATTCAGGTGAGCAAATTCTGGCTGTTTGAACATTCCGAAGACTTGGAGAAAACCAATCTGGTAATATACCAGACAGTGTTTGGCAGCTTTCTCTGAATGGTTGACCATTCCGTCACTTCTGTCACTTCGGGTTTTGTCACTTTCATTTTGCGGGCTTGAAGGGCGATTTGAAGAGGAACTTAAGGGAGCTTGAAGGAGGGTAGAGATTTAAGGGTTTAAAGAGAGCTCTTCGGAGGACTTGAAGGGAGCTGGAAGGGAAACTTAAAGTCTCCAAAAGTGTTAGAGCAACACGAAAAGTGCCAAAAGTGACAACTTATTCGGAACAGCTTGCGTCTCCACCCAGACTTTTTGCATCCGCTCTCACTCTCTTCTATGGCACTCCTCAAACCCCCCTGAATGCAGCCGTATAGCCGCAGGCCCGCGATCTGCAACTAGCAAAATCGTATTTAAGAGCACTTTTGGAGGGCGAGCGTTCCGTCAAAAAACGCGCAGAAATGCATTGCTAAAGGACCGGAGTGGAAGCGGAGGACGAAGTTCGGAGCCCTCCGGTCCATCAGAGATGCATTTCTGCGTGATTCTTGTTGCGAGCACCAAATCTGATTTTGCTAGTTGCAGATCTGCGGGCCGACGGCTACACGGCTGCATTCCTGCAGCCTCGAACGCCGTCGAATGAAAGATGTGATGCAACGCACTTTCGTTCAGGCTGGCTCTGCACAGCCTTCAGGGGGGTTCGAGCCCCTTAACTCCCCCTCTTAAGCCCTTTCAAACCCACTCTTAAGCCTCCCCCGTTGAGCTTTCTCTTAAGTTCCCCTCCAGCGCCCTTTTGCCCCACACTCAAGCCTTCTCTTAGTCTTTCCTCATTGACTCTAAGTGAACTTTGGCTTCGAGTCTTAGATTTGGATTGAAGCAGTGGCGCTTGAAAGCACAGCAAGCTTTGAGGATGTCATGCATGCTCAAGAATCTGACCGCCAAAAAGTTGCAGTGCGAGGTCTGGGTTGCCTGTGCCAATACTGGGCTCTACATGATAGCTTACAAGGCTTGCAAGGGCCAGCAATTGCCGCCACATTGGCCATAAACAGTTAAACCCCTAAACCCTAAACTCTCACGTCCCTTCAGCCTTTTCCTGAGGCTTTAAGGCTTGAAGGGGGCGTGTGAGAGCCTTTAGAGCGCGCCGGAAAAGTGGAGCATCGGCGGGCGCGCGGATGAAAGCTGCGGATGAGCGCGGGGGCACGAATGAACATGAGCATCGGCGGGCGAGCGCGCAAGAGGCGCGAATGAGCTCAGGAGCATCGGCGGGTGGCACGAGAGGCGCGGATGCGCGTATGAGAGGCGCGAATGAGCTGATGAGCATTGGCGGGCGGGCAGTTCCGGGCCCCGGCGGCCGGATGAGCGCGGCGGACCATCAGCCCGACAGCGGATGAGCAGCGGCGGAGCCTCCGTGAGCCTCTGCGGGCCATCAGCCGGACGGCGGATGAGCATCATGAGTCTCAGCGGGCGGGCGGATGAGCATCATGAGTACCAGCGCGGATGAGCATCATGAGTATCAGCAGGCGGGCGGATGCGCGGATGAGCATTATGAGTATCAGCGGGCGGGCGGAGCAATCTGTTGAAAAGCTGTCACTTTTGTCACTTTTTTGCATTGCTCTTCATTTTTCGCGCGTTTCAGGGCCTCTAGAGCGCACGGGGAAAGTGACAAAAGTGACGGTTTTTCAAGAGCAGAAGTTGCGGGATGAGCAATGAACATCGGCAGGCCATCGGCGGGCGCGCGGATGAGAGGCGGATGAGCGTTAGCGGGGCAAGTGTTGGGTGCGGAGATCGGGAGCGCGGGCTGGCGGAACATCGATGAGCATGAGTGGGCGGGCGGTTCCGGGGGCCTGGGCGGCCTGCGGCGACGCGCGTGAGCCATGAGCGTCAGCAGAACCCTACGAGCCTCAGTGGGCCATCAGCCGGCCGGCAGATGAGCATCGGCGGAGCGGCGGATGAGCATCATGAGGATTAGCTTGTGTTGTATTTGCTGGCAGCGGAAAGTTTAATGAAAGCAAGTCAGAGGCCTGTTCATTTGTCATTCGGAGAAAGGCCTGTGGAGTGTAGGCTGCCAATGCCCACATGCGTCCTTCATGAGGTTCAATTTGATGGTAACGCCTTGCGTCAAATGACAATCCTTCATTGTGAACGTCTTTCCAAGTTCCACAGAGAGAACGGGTGCCGTTCTTCTGGATAAGCGTCGCAGAAGATGTTCCTTCATCATCTTCGATCCAGACTTTGCCTCCGGTGAAAGTGCCCAATGTGATTGCGTGGTTCAAATGGCCCGCCAGGTTGCAGACGTCTCTATGAAGACCGATTTTTGGATTGTACAATACTGCGATGGATGTCCAGGTTCTGTTCGGAAACCTGTCCTTCAGAAATGCATTGATCGCCGCGCAGGCCTCGCGCTGTCCACAAGCTTTGGAGATGCCGGTGATGCCCCCGTGCCCGAATAATCCCAAGGTGCAGTATTTCTCATAAGCGCCTGGGCCTATCGCTCGACTGCGCCCTCGGTGCTTCCACAGCAAGGACCAATAATCCAGCAGCTGGACCACGTGCTCCTCCGATGGCGATTCTGCAGCAGCAGCGGCAAGTAGATTCAGTTGCGCGTCCATCTTTTCTTTCCAACTGCTCAGCAATTCCGTTTCCACAGGCAGTTATTCCAAGCGCCGCACCGGCCTGTCTGCAGGCGCCAAACGGACTGCTGGGCCTGCGTTGAAGTCCCGCAGCTGCCGCACGGGCGCGGGCGTGGGCCGGTCTGGGCTCCCCGCTCCTTCTGGGCACCGGCAGCGCGTGCTTCAGCAGCGTCTCGCTGCCGTCGGTGGCCCTCACCGTCATGGAGTCGAAGCCCGCCAGCTCCTTGGCGGGGCCGTAGCTGGGCTGGAAGCTCCGGTTGGCGTTGGTGGGCGCGCGGAAGGCGCCGGCCTGCTGCAGCTTGTTGTGCTGGAACTTCTCGGTGTTGTCTTGAAGCACCCTGAACTGGGTGGCGGGCTGCGTCTCCACGTGCTCGGGCGCCGCGTGCACGGCCTCGTGAGGGCGCGCGTTGTAGGCCACGTGGTCGTCCCGGGCGCGACCTCCAGCTGCGCGAAGCCCGTGGCCGTATTGGCGTCCAGCTGGAGCCGGGCCGTTCCGGTGGTGGCCGTGTTCTTGATGACGAGCCCTGTGGTGGAGGCGGCGGCCAGTTGCTGACGCTCACTTCGGCGGCTGCTGTAAGAGGCGCCCTGCCGCGGGGGCGCACGCTGTCCGGGAGGGCCGGGCTTCTGCCGGCCGCTTCCCCTTTCCTATATAGCGCCCGGCCGCCTCAGAAGGGGCACTCCGCTTGTGGCGCCGCGGCCTCACGCAGCTGGAAATCGATAATCTCCAGCAGCAGGCCGCGCTGCAGGCTCATGAGCCAGACCTGCCGCAGCTCCACGCGCACCTTCCGGCCCGCCAGATCCCCGGGCTTTCAAGCGCCTGCCCCTCAGCGTCCCAGAAGCGAACTCGGTCCCAATTCAGCTTCATCTTCAGAAAGGAGCTGCCCCGCTGCGAGGT